AAAACTTTCGAAACATGCATTTGATAAAAAACCAACCAAATCACCTCCGAATGACCTGAAATTTTAATCACACATCCCAAATGACATAACGAAGCTATAGCAACTCTCAAAATTCCATTCCGACCCTCGGATCAAAATCTCACCTATCAACCGGAAATCGCCAAAATACTAACATCGCCAATTCAAGCCTAATTCTACACCGGACCTCCAAAACCAATTTCGATCATGCTCCTAAGTCAAAAATCGCCTAACGAAGCTTACTAAATCATAAAAACTCCAATCCAAGCTCATATACAAATAAGTCAACTCCTAGTCAAACCTTTCAAATTCAAGGCTTTCAACTGAAACTGTCCTTCCAAATTCATTTCAAATTTTCCTGAAAACCAAAACCAACGATCTACATTAGTGATAATACATAACACGGGGCAAGTCATGCCCGAGAACTGGCGATCAAAGTGCAAAAGCTCAAAACGACCGGTCGGGTCGTTACATAATTAAATTTGTTCTTTAATGTCTCTAAAGGGATTATCTAACCCTACGACTCACCCATTAACTTCGAATTAATTCTGGAAAAGATAATTTAGGGTTGATAAAGATTAATTAACTAGAACATGAGGCTTTAACCCTCACTGTATAGATTCTACCTAATGATATGATTGAACTACTTGTAGCCATATTCTGGTGTGCATAATCTCTTAATTGTTTTAGCAATAATTCAATTTGGAAGTCTTGTTAGTCTTTGGAAGAAGCTAACATGGAATTATTAACTGAGCCTAATTAACATAAACTCGATCATATTTTTAAAATCATGAAATACATTGGATTGTTACTTCAGTGTAGTTCCCCGTGTATCCATACTTGTAGCCATTGATCATTTTACTTGCTTTCTAGGTTAGTTTATATTTTCACATTTTAGACATAAATATTTTCTCAAAATTTTCTAAGTGTTTGGCTTAGCAAAATAAGTGATAATTCTCTTACACGCCTAATCCCCTACATATTATTCTCTGTGGGATTCGATTCCGACTCATAGTTGGATAAATTATATTGCGTGCGACTGTGTCCCTTTACTTTTTAGTAGTAAATTTGGACGTCATCAGTGGGAGACAAGGAAGATAAATGGGAGGGATTCTAAGGTTGAAGGTAGGGTAAAGGAGAGAGGAAAGAGAGAAAAGGACAAAAATTAAAAATATAGATGGAAAAAGAAATATTAATAAAGAAAAATGAGGGTGACCTATTTAATTACCAGGTATTTTTATTGAGGGGGTCCCATTCATAGTGGAAGGCGGCTAGAGTTGGGTGTATTCTTGTCTACTTTCTTAATGGTAGGGGCATATTTGTATCGTTAGTGAAACTGAGAATAAACATGGACAAGAGGGTAAATATGACCTTTTTCCCAGAAGAAATGTGAATGTGCTTCCCAACATCACATGACCCCACCCAAACACTCTATCAGCACCAAATGAACTATAACTCATATAACTCCTAGTTATCTTATTTACTATACAGGCAAAATATTCTTAAGGATAATGTATTCATACCTCGAGCTAAATTCTATTGTACATATTATCTTTCTAACAAATTCAATCATTCATATATAAAATTCATTCAACACGGCCGGACTCGAAAATTCCACAATATCTTTTACAAATACTATTCATCAATAGAAGGAGACTGTCTTACATCACACAACATTATTTATTTCACATGCTGGCTGGCTAGAACGAGCCAATATTGCCAAATAGTCATCACACAACACAAGCACACACGCGCACACACACACACTATATATATATATATATATATATATATATTCTATTTCTTGAGAAGGTGACCCTCTACATCTTTCGTGATATCAAGGAGTACACCCATAAAAGCAAGGGGCTCAGGAGTATCTTCAGTTTTCTTCTCGTACACAAATGTCCATGTAGTCCACTGGTCTTCAATAGATATGCTAATAGTAAAGGAATTATATAATTCTAATAAATCTCCTTCAATTACTTTCCAAGTGCCTGATTTCTTCTGAGGATCGGTGGCTTCAATTCTATGCTTCATAAACATCTCTCTTCCATCTATAATTATTAAAATACGAAAATAATGCTCAACTGTCCAATTTCTCATAAAAGATATAAATATGTACAAAATAATATTTTCATATTTCTTTTCTGCCTTTGTTTTTAATTTTCATTTTCTACAAAAATTATCCGAATGGAATTATTTTTATGAATCTCAAAAAAACATATATTAAACACTGATAATAATATAAAGTTATTTATAAATAATAATAACAATTTATCAAACTTTTGAGTGTTAAAGATTAATAATAATGTCAAAGTGTTAGCTGGAGCAAGTAAAATAAAATTAACAGTTAACATTGTTTTAACTGAGAAAATAATTTCCACCTACAAGTGAAAAGAATTTATTTTCCTTTCCTCAAAATATTTCTTGAAAAATAGCATCCGTAATCTTTATATATAGAGAAATAGAGGGAGGTGGGGATGTGTGTTACCTTCGTTATATTTCTTGCTAGCAAACAAACCAACCTTTCCTATTTCACCTTCATGAATCTCAAAATGATTAAATTTACCAGGGCTTATGTTGGGTATAAGATGAGTATTAACGTGAAAAATATCATAAACAGAGTGCCCTTCACACTTCACCTGCATTGAAGCAATCAACTTTCCTTTAACACCCATATTTTGTTCTCCTTAGAATAGCAATAAGTTGTGAAAATTAGGTAAGTGGTGAGAAAATGTTCAGAACTTGAAGGCCTTATATAGATT